ACCTAATTCCATTTTCCACAAACTCTTTGAAATTCTCTCATACTCCTACAATGTTTTGGTCCTTTTAAAACACTGGAATCAGGGGCAGCACTGTAGCTCAGCGGGTTATACGCCCTGGCCTGAAGTGTGGACGCTGGTTCGAGACCCAGCTGCTCCACTTCTGATCCAGCTCTCTGCTACGGCCTGGGAAAGCAGTAGAAGATGGCCCAAGTCCTTGGGCCCCTGCACCCACGTGGGAGACCTGGAAGAAGCTCCTGGCTCCTGGCTTCAAATCGGCACAACTCCTGCCATTGTGGTCAATTGAGAAGTGAACCAGTAGATGCAAGACATCTCTCTCTAGCTCTCTGCTTCTCCTCTCTCTGTGTAACACTTTCAAATAAATAAATAAATCTTTTAAAAAAACCCCACAGGAATAAATTATTTTTACGAAAATTTCAGTGACAAGTTTACTACTTTAAATAAACACCTTAAAGATCAGTTAGGATAAAAGTCAAAATCTTTCAATGGGCTTAATTCCTTCTCTGAAATCATAGTTTCATCTATGCTGTTTTCTGTGACTTTTGGAATATACCAGCTGTTCTTACACTTCAAGGCCTTTGAGCCTCCTATTTCTTATAGTTGGAGTGGTCTTTCCTCAGCTATGGCTCTGACTCACTTCCTCACTGCCTTCATTGAGATGTAACCAACTCAGTGAGATCAATTTCAAGGCCCATTTAGAAATGAGATCCAGCCATAATCCTTCACATTTCCACACTTTCTCATTCTATGCTTGGTTGACTTTTTGAATAGTACTCATCATAGATGATAGGTAGATACTAGAAAGATGGAGTTGATAGATACAGATATAGGTAGACGGATGATAGATACACAGATAAACAGACAGACATGCACTTATGTGCACCTAACCCACACCCAGATATAAATAAGTACCAAAGAGATAGAGATTTTTGGCAATTCTGTTCATTACAAAGTCCTCAGCATTTAATACAGCACTGAACAAAAGGCTGCAATGAATATTTTAGGAAAATAATTATAATTTGCTTCTTTTGTGTAGAGTTCATGTTTCATTTTCAATGTGATGATGCAAGGGAGCTTCAAAAAATTCATGGCAAATATGTATTATGAGGAACTTAGACTTGGTTTTCAAATACTTTTGTAAAAAAATAAGTTCATTTCTAAATTATTTTTTCTTTAAAATTTTTAAAGTGCCTTCATAATTAGAAAATTGCGAACATTATTGGAAGTCCCTTCTACTAACTCAGATCTACTAAAGCAGGTTGTTCTCTAATACAAGTTGGAAATGCAGAGAAGTAGACATTTTCTCTTCCATCACAAGATTTATGACCAAGTATAACACATGTCATATTAACAAGGACTAACACGTAACTTTATTTAAGTTTGATATGACATGGAGCCATCATAAATGAAGACCCAAAGACACTTAAAATCTCTTGGTTTTTATGGGTAGTCATGCAGAAATAATATTGGAAGACTAAAGGGTATGACTTAATGGTAACAAATTGAGGAAGGCAGACATGTGACCCAGGAGTTGAGAAGATGCTTAGAATGACCCATCCCGTATCCAACTGCCTGGGGTCCATAGCAGCCTTTGACTCCACTTCCAGCTTCCTGCTGATGTGGACACTGGAAGGCAGTGGTGATGGTTTAAGTACTTGGGTTCCTGCCATCCATATAGGAGAACCAGATTGATTTCTGGTGTCTTGGCTTTGGTCTGGCCCTGCCACAGCCATTACAGGCATTTGGAGGGTAAACCAGCTAATGAATGATATCTGTCTCTCTCTGTCTCTGCCTTTCAACTAAAGAATTACATTTAAAATACAACAAATCAAAAACAAAAAATAATTAAGGGGGGATTATCAAATCCTGTTTATTCAGATTATTCTTTGCATCTCCTTGTCTTTGTTCCTTTATTCTAGGGATAGGAAGAGTCCATGAGGGATTAAAGACCCATTGTAGAGGAACATCGGAAAATTCTTTTCTGAAAATTCATTTCTACTGGGGAGAATGATGGGAGAAGGTCAGAGTGCTTTCTGCTTCTGGCAGTTCCTCAATTGTCAGTGTGAGTATTTGTGGCAGCACTCCTGAACCCCATCAGCATACACATTATCATCCTGATTCTTGACTGTGTTGGCATTCAGTTCCATTATTCCTTTCTCCAGTTCTATCTTTTGCCACAGATCTGGACTTAGCTGGGAATATGCTACTGTCACATGTACAGTCTTCCCCTCTTGTTCTCACTTCACTGAGCACTTGGAGTAGTAAGATCGCCAGAGATGTAAGGGGTTGATAGGGTAGATAAAGTGGTGCAAGTCATGGCAACTGGGTTCATGTGGAGTGTGAAGATTTGATAAGGGTGAGACATCTTATACAGGAATCAGCTCTGCTCACATCAGTAAATTAAGATTGTAAAGATGGAACATTATTGTCCCTGTTCTGCCGAATGTCAACCCCACTTGTTAATATGCAATCTCTCTACAATTTATATGAGGACTCTGCAAAATTGATTCAGAGGAACCTCCTTGTGATCTGAGCACAACTGTCAAATGTGTCTCTAGAGTATTTTTTTGCTGGCAGCATCTGCTGCTTTTTGAAGACTTAATGGCTTGAACACAGCCTCCTCTTTTCCTTTCCATTAGTATCATTCACATTTTGAGCAATTAAGTTTCTTGTGATGCCTCTCACAGATGAGTTATGAAGTGATGATGAGCTATGAAGTGATCAATTCAGAGACAGACATTGGAGAGGGGCAAATGCTTGAGAATAAGGAAGATTTATCTCTAGAAACACATCTTATCTACTGTTTCCTATCATTTTCTCTGCAGAGTGGCAAGATAAGTTTTCACAGCCAAACTGTGAATAAAGATTATTACCCATAAGAACAATACAAGCACAGTTTTATTATAATGCCATATTCATTTATTTTCCATTTGGTTTTTGCAAAATAATATAATAAAGTTGGAGAGTGTCTAGTTCAAGAAAATAGAGATAGCAAAAGAAATTCATATATTTGGTTATCTGAAAAAAACACAATTTTTATTTTTAAATATAACAATTTTATTGGAGAGTAGAGAGAAAACTAGTGCTAAGAAATTTCTTAAGCAAATTTTACAGATGAATGCTATAGGATTATCTAATTTATCTGAATGGAGGGAGGTGGAGGGATGCTGCTATAAATTAAAAGGAAATACTATTACAATTAGATAATAAGTCATATGACATAAATCATATATCTGGGCTTTCTGTTAGGTTTAACAAATACCTGACAAATATATCTAAAACTCACTAATTAGAAAACAAAGAAGTATATCTGGGTATATAATGTAAAGACTCCAGAAATAATAAATCTATTTTGTAATCCATAGCCTGAGTCAGAAGTACTACCTTCTACATGCACATTACATTGTAGTTCAGGGTTCTCTGCATAGCGAGAATTATAATTTAGGGATGTTCCACGTATATCTAAGATGCCATATGTATGTAATATCAGTATAATATAACCACAAAGAAAACAGGCAGAGCTAAAAGGAAAATGAAAATTGCTTAAAAAGACTTAAAAGAAAAAATACTATGATTTGATCCTTGGATTTAAATGTTAGAAACACATTAATTTATGGAACGTAAGTTTTGGAACTAGAGAGAAAATGAATTAAAGGAAGCTCTGTAGGAAGGAAGAATGGCATAAGGAGAGGGCGCATGAAGATGTTCTGGTTCAGTTCAGGGGAGAAAGTATCTGTGAGACGCAAGATCAGGTGATTGTAAGCAGAATCCGATAGCTGTCGAAGAGGAACACAGCCAAAACTTCGCACAGGTTGAGAATGGAGTCTGTGGGATAAGAAAACGAGAATCTTCTTTTAGCAATGCTAGAGCTCCTCTATGTTCCCATGGTCCTTTCAGCCTGACTACCCCCAGGAACTCACCTGAATCAGGAGGCATCCCTTTTCCAACAGACCCTGGAAAAGTCAAATTCAGTGAAGAAAAAAATGGAAAATCTACTTTGGAAATACAAGGTATCAGGCCCGGTGCCATGGCTCACTTGGTTAATTCTCCGCCTGCTGCACGGGCATCGCATATAGGTCCCAAGTTCTAGTCCCAGTTGGGGCGCCGGTTCTGTCCCGGTTGCTCCTCTTCCAGTCCAGCTCTCTGCTGTGGCCCAAAAAGGCAGTGGAGGATGGCCCAAGTGCTTGGGCCCTGCACCAGCATGGGAGACCAGGAGGAAGCACCTGGCTCCTGGCTTCGGATCAACGCAGCACCGGCCATAGTGGCCATTTGCGGGGGTGAACCAATTGAAGGAAGACCTTTCTCTCTGTTTCTCTCTCTCACAGTCTAACTCTGTCTGTCAAATAAAAAATTAATATTCAAACTCAAAAAAAAGGAAATACAAGGTGTAATTAATCATTGGAAAATTACTATTCCCTACTTCAGCTTAAATTAATTTATTTCAAATTTGAGATAAATTTGTAAAAAATATATACAGTCAAATAAGCAGAATGATTTTAATTAAAAATTAAGAAAAAGGAAATTGCAAATATGTGAAATAATTCATTGAAATAACGCATATTACACCAATAATTGTGTTTATCTATATGAAAGGGAAGTGAATGAGTTCTATATTAAAAGAAAAACATAGACCAATTGAGTAGTTTGATTGTTAAAGGATTAGTGAATGATGCAGCATACAAAACCTGCAGAGGAATGAGGAACTCTATTCCACATTATAGGTAGTAAGTTTTTGTAGTCTAAATAGAATAGAGAAACAGCTTGATTAGTTATCACTAGGTATTTGTCTTATTTAGACTAATAGCATGATCATTGGCTGCCTGTGTGTGAAGCCTGTAATCGTCCAATACTCTTCTCTCTGTTTTTTTTTTAAAGCACTTCTAAGTTAGACTTTGGTTTGTTAGCTTCCTAAATTAGGTTGCAGTCCAATATGTAGAATGTCAAAGCACTGGGCACTCTGTCCAATGGCAGTGTTCAGAAGCTTGGAGCTTGGTAACACTCCCTGTCATCATCATAATGGACTCATTTGGTCACAAGTCCTGAGGTTAGGTCAGTTGCATGACTCCTGTTTTTTCCATTCTAGTCAAAGTGAGACTAATGTACACTGGATGGTGGCACACAAATCTTTAAGACTCTTGAGGGGACAGAGTTGACCAGAGAGATGACTGTGATGATTAGCAGGAAGGTGATTCCAGGAGATTACAGTGCAATGCTTCACAAGAACGCAACGGAGCTCAACTGATCAAATTGAAAAAAATCAAATCTCCGGCTATGTAAGTAGTTTAACAGTATTTGAGTCTGGTTGGTCACAATCTTTAGGAATTCGTGGTGATTAAGGATTATTATCCACTGTAGAATGATCTGATTTGCCTAGGAATCTTTTCTTAAATTGTTTGTTTGAAAGGCAGAGAGAAAGACACACACACAGAAATCTTCCATCTGGTGGTTTACTCCCCAAAATTCCACAACAGCCAGGGCTAATTCTGGAACTCGATCCAGTGGCAGGGACTCAACCACTTGAGCCATCACTTACTTCCTTCTGGGGTCTGCATAGGCAGAAGTTGGGGTCAGAAACAGAGCTGGGATTGCAGCCCAGTCACTGTGACATAGAATGCAGAGAACCCAAGAAGCATCTTAACAGCTGCACCAAATGCCCAGCCAAAGAGGCAACCGTGTTTGTCATCAGCTTGGAAACACAAGCATAGTGACCTAGACACCTACTTGAGGAAGCCTTAAGCTTAGAAAACTTGGGGGCAAGTTAGCCACCACTTAGAATGCCTTCAAACTGTCATCCAGTATCACAAATACATTGTGTACTCCTTTTCCAAAAAGAATTTCTTCAATGCATTTGTTGGCAATGCCTAAAGAAAAAGTGGTATTACCACCTTTGAATTAAACTTTAAACAATAGCATAATAAGTGGAAAGATACGTGCATTTAGATTTGTTCAGTGCCATATGCAAGTCCCTAGGAAATCTAAAGATGCCTGATAATATTCAGTAACTACTTTGTTGAACACATATGCTGTCATACACCTTCTGGAGGGTGACTTCTACCTATACAAAACCCTAGGAATTCCAGTTAGTCAAAAAGTCTGACTTTCTCTCAATTTATGCATTAGTTTCAAATTCCACACAGTTGGCACCTCATTACCACCAGAGTGAGCCTTCATTTGGAGTTTTTCTCCAGCTGACATTAGCTTATTTTTATCTGTTTCAGGGTTAATGCTAATTTCTACTGACGGTCATTTTGGCTTCTATTTATAGCAAGTATTGTATAGACCAATAGGAGAAGCGATTCAGAAGGCAGGAGGGAATCAAGCTAGAAAATAAGATCCAAACTAGTGGGGAAGCAGAACAAAGCAGGCAAACTCTCCTCAGATCCAATATGGATCCTCAGGGAATGGAAAAGAGGGCTACATAATAGCATTTGAGCTTAGATCAGTTAAATCTGTCAGCCTATTTCTCAGCACACTTCTTGAAACAAGGTCTGGGAAGAAATTGACTTTTCTGTGGCAGGCTGTAAGGGTGTATAACCACATTTTGTGAAAAGGGACCATGCAGAATTAACCCAGTTATATTATACAAGCAATTACTTGACCCCACATAGATAGCCCCCAGGTTTTGGGTTCCTGATACTGGGAAGCATAATAAACTTTCCACAAGCATCATCCAGATAGGATTTGGTTAGAGTTTTGTTATCAGCTTAAAAGGTAGGGATATGACTTTCAGTGAGTGTAAGAAAGTAAGTGACAGGATTGTGACAGCAAGAAACAAAGAACAATGATAAGTTTTTTATGATGGCAGAGAAGGGAAGACTTGGTTGTTGATCTTTGGAACGTTGTACACATCCATGATTCCATCTAATTCTGGGAAAGATTTACCTGGTCAGCTGCACCTTATGACTTCAACAGCGTACATTTTCAAGAGTCCGGATCTGCTTTCTTGATATGTATGTGATCAAGTTCCCAAGTATTGAAGTTTTAATGAGGTAGGGTTGGTAAGAAACTTTTTATCAGAATTTATAAGACTGAAAAATATGAATGCTTAAAAAGTTCATGGAAAATCAAATTAAATGATGGTTTTAAAAAGAATTGTTTTATTTACTTGAAAAAGAGAGAGAATAAAAGAGAGAGAGAACGAGAGAGAAATCATCTTGGTTCACTCCCCAAATAGCTGCAATGGTGAGGGCTGGGACAGGCTGAAGCCAAGAACTGTATAACATGATAATATGTTCTTAGTCCATAAGCCTTCCAGTAACTGTTTCATAAGGAGTAAATCTATATTTCCCAATGGGAGTGGATCTAATTGCCATCGGGGCCTATAGGAATACCTTTGGCCAAACCAATACAATCAATTCAATTAACTTTTTCAATTTTTAAATGCCATTTGTCCATTTGACCTTTACAGAAGAGTGAGAGTAACCGGGATAATGATAATGTCATTATTATGTTTGTAACACCTTACCTAACTGCTTTATAACTTGTCCATAAAATAGCTTGCCTATCAGTGAAGATTTCTCCAGCAATGTCCCATAAATGAAATACCTTTGTTATTAATTTGGTAACCATTGTCCTAGCACAAGTTTTCCTGCTGGAGAACCTACAAACTATTAAAAGACTGTGTTAAAAACCCATTGAAGATGAAATTGAATGAAATCCATCTGTAAATGCTCAAATCATAGATCATGTAGCAAAAATATACCATCTGCAGTTCCAATTATCTTGCTAGAATTATATGTTTGACAAACAATACATTAATTATAACCATTTTTATCAATTTTACAAGTGTCACTAAACCAGTTATTTGTATCACTTTGTTCCGTGATAAATTATGGAAAGTAAGCCCTTTAATTTTTAAGCATTTTATCAAAGTACAATATACATCCCAAGAAATGCACGTGAGTGTACAAATGAATGAGGTTTTTGCCATCTGATCACACTCATATCCAGCACTCAAACTAAGAAAGGGTTAATGATACCTCAAGAATTCTAACTATTCTCCACATTTCTATTTTTTTGAACATGTGAAAGTGTATCATCATGTATGTGGTATGATTCAGTGAAACACAATTTATAACTATATTTCAAATTATACGACATCCACATAGTATTTATACTCTCTATATTCACTATTAAAAACAAGAATGCATGTGGTATTTTTCTTTTAGGGTAAGACTTATTTCACTTAGAATAATGGTCTCCAGTTGCATCCATTTCACTTTAAATGTCAGGATTTCATTCTTTACAGCTGAGTAGCATTCCATCATGTATATATACCACATTTTCTTTACCCAATTAGATGGACATCTAAGTTGGTTCCATATCTTAGCTATTGTGAATCGAGCTGCAATTATCATGGGATTTCAGGTCACTCTTCAATATGCTGCTTCCATTTTCTTTGGATATATTTCCAAGAGTGTGTTGGCTGGGTCATATGGTAGATCTGGTGGTTTTTTTTCAGTTTTAGAAGGGGTCACCATACTATTCTTACATAATAATTGTGCTGCTATTTTCCACTAGCAGTGCATTAGGGTACCTTGTTCACTACATCCTTGCCAGCAATTGTTATTAATTTTTTTTGATGACAGCCCTTCTTACTAAGGTGAGGTGTGGTTTATATTTGCATTTCCCTGATGGCTAGTGATCCTCAGCATTTTTCATGTGTCTGTTGGCCATTTGGATTTCCTCCTTTGAAAAATGACTGTTCATATCTTTTTCCCATTTATTGACTTGATTGCTTTTTGTTGTTGTTGAGTTCCTTGAGGTTCTTGTATAGTTTGGATATTAACCCTTTATTGGATGTTTGTGAATATTGTCTTTCTATCTGTTACTTCTTCACTTTGTTGCTTGTTTCCTTTCCTGTGCAGAATCTTCTTAGCTTGATGTAATCCCGGTTATCTATTGTTACTTTTATTGCCTCCGTTTCTGTTGTTTTATCCAAGAAGTCTTTGCCTACACCAGTGTCTTAGAGTATTTTTCCCATGCTTCCCTCCAGTAATTTAGTGGTTTTAGGTCTCAGGTTTAGATCCTTGATCCATTGTGAATTGATTCTTGTATAGGCTATAAAGTATGGGTCTTGTTTCATACTTTTGTGTGTGGAAGTTCATCATTTCATAACACTTGTTGAAGAGACTGTCCTTTCTCCAGAGAATGATTTTAGCTCATTTATTAAAGATTAGTTGGTTGTGGTAGGTTATTTTCTGAGGTTTCTACTCTGTTGCATTGGTTTAAATGTCTAATTGGTGCCAATACCAGGCTGTTTTGATTATAACAGCCCTATAGTATGCTTTAAAATTTGGTATTGTGATGCCTTTAGCTTTGTTTAAATTTTTTAGAATTGCTTTTGTTTTCCAGGGTGTTTTCTGTTTCCATATGAACATTAGTATTTTTTTTCTAGATATTTGAAGAATTTCCTTTGTGTTTTGATTGGAACCACATTGAATATGCAAATTGCTTTGGGTAGTATGGACATTTTGATAAAGCTGATTCTTACAATCCATGATCATGGAAAATGTTTCTATTTTGTTGTGTCTCTTTTATAATTTCATTAACATTTGTAATTTCAGTTGTGGAGAGCTTTCACATCCTTTGCTAAATTGATCCCAAGGTATTTAATTGCTTTGTAATGACTGTGAATGAGACTGAACTTGAACTTCTTTGTCAACCAGAGCACTGTAAGTGTATAAGAATGTTACTGATTTTTGTAAGTTGATTTTGTATCCTAAAATTTTATCAACTTTTGTTTATGAATTCTAATAGTGGAGTTTTTGATTCCTCAAATAAAGAATTATGTTATCTGAAAATAGGAATATTTGTGTCATCTTTTTTTCCTAATTTGTATGCCTTTGATTATTTTTCTGACTAATGGATCTGACTAAAATTTCCAGAATTATATTGAATGATAGTGATGCAAAAGGGCACCATGTATGGATTTCATTTGTGATTGCCTATCATCACATTTCAGTACCAGCTTTACTAACATGAAATTTACCACAGAATTTTCTGGGTATTCAGTTAGTTCATGTTTTACTTGATAATGGTTTCGTAAGTCAGTCAGTTTAGTCATTAGAGTTTTGGAATCCTTAGTGCCATGGTTTGATCTTAAAGTTATCAGAAACCTATACTTATGAGAATTCTTTCCTTGAGTCTTTCATAAGATGAAACACTTTCAGTTATAATTGCTTGCAATAGCTTTCATGCAAGTATCAGAGTAAAATAATTAACTGTCTATGGATGACAAGACTTAAAATGGCCATAATTAAAGGTTTGACGAGAGATCATTATAAGGCAATTGACAAAGAAATTTCATTATTTCTGTGACAGACAATATTTAAGATAACAACTATAATTATGACTGATGGGTTATATGAGAACCATCAGATTTCTAGGAATTTCATGTAATATATAAAGTACATTAACAATGTATCCATACAATGTGAATTAAAGAAGTTTCAGTATTACATGTTATTTGACAATGGTTTCCATGCACTTTAACATATCAAATATGCTGAATTATTTTAATCTCCTTCTGCCTCTATTTTTATAAATCAGGGATCCATCTGCAAACTCCTTATACCAGTTTGAGGTCAAAAAGATTTAACTTACGCCTTGATTTGGGGAAGTTTATCAATATCAAAAGTTCAAAACACTTGATTAAAATGGCATCACAAATCACTGTTAAATAACAATATTCATTTAACCAAAGTGATAATCAAAAGACAGACCTTCAAAGGCTACAGAAAATTATGTAGCTCATTTTTCACTTTTGTACTTTTTTTAAAGTATACGTGTTAACACACCAAAAAAGGCTAATGATCAATTTATTTATCTTTTAGCCATTTTTACCTTATTTGTATGTTAAGTAATTAAAGATTTTGTAAAAAAATAATTAAAAGATAAATTTATTTTGGTGCAAAAAATTGGAAAAATATTCATAGATTTTTCACAACATATATTTTCCAATTATTATACAACCCTGTATATGAAACCTTTTGTTTGATTTAGTTTTAAAATGTGCTTGACATACATGAATAAGTGTATTTCTTCTAACAACATTTATTCTTAGGTAGAATGTATAGTTCTGTATTTTTAAACCTCAAAAAAAGATGGCATAAACCTACATAACTAATCAACCCAGATATAAATTGTGTGTGCGCATATTTGATGTCCAAAACTCTGAATATAGACCTGTTCTGATTAAACAGAATTTCACTAGTTTTTATTAACTGAAGATTATCACAGATCATGTAAACTTGAAATATTTTAGTTCCATTTCCATCACTTTAACAGTTTAAAGGATAGTTAGTTTATATATGCATATATTTTCTTTGAAGCCAACTAAATGGAGGGCTCTAATTTTAACCAATTAACTTTGGCAGTACCACCCAGAGGTGGAACAATGCCACCTACACCAGCATCCATCGTGTGTTTATAATGAGGCAGAAAACCCAAGAGTTCTTGTTTAGCACACATGCCAATGGAAACAGGGAGACAATGATTTGAGCTGTGAGGTAAAGGAATTTATCTGAGCTGGCCAAGCCAGGAGCAATGTTGTCTAGCGACCAAAACCCAGGATCTGTCCCTGTCAAAAGAAAATCCCCAAAGCTGAATTGTTGTACTTGATTCCCAGGAAACAGTGAACACCAACCACATTGCTCTTTCGTCCTCATCATTTGTGTTTAGATTAAAATTATGCTTTTATGATTTTAAATATCTAAAAGCTTTGATAAGCATCATTTTGCTAGTTCATCAACCCCAGACACAAATGGATGTTAATGATCATAAAAAAAAAAAAACCCTTCACTTTCTTTTTACCAACAAATTTACAAATTTATTTGTCAAAGATTTACTTAAGTCACATGAACCAAAAGGCATTTGGACTAATTCAGCAATTTTAATTTATGTAAGCACTCATTGATCTGTAAGTCAATTCAAAATACAATTCTTTATGGTATTTTATCATATAAATATTATATGTAACTAATGTAACACATATAACACACACACGTACACATCAAAACTTACCTAACTTTGTTGTTCTATATCATCCATTAATGGAAAACTAGGCCAGGCTTCCACCACTGGCTCCACCCTGCCACGTAGCAGACAGTGAAACAGAGGAGCTACCTAAGGCCGTGCAGCTGGGGCCATGATGAGAGAGGAGGGGCTATGAAGTCAGTTAAGCGCTCTTAGAACTTTCTTTTTATGATTCCATAAAAAGTACACAACTTAACACAGCACAAATCGTAGCAGATGCTAAACAAAGAACAGGCACCAAAGGTCGGAGTACAGTAGAACCAGGGTCCTGGAAGGACTCAGCAAGTGTTCTCACCACCGTGAAACCCAGTCCTGCCTCAAATAGTGAGATTGGGGATTTACCCCAACAGAACCCATAGAGGGTTAGACAGGACCCACATAGGGGCATACAAAGTCAAGGAGGGAGATAAAGTGGCCTTTCGAGATTACTCACCTGGAGACATTTTTCTACTGCAAACAAAAGAGAGGGAGGTAGGGAGGGAGGGAAGGAGGGAGGGAAGGAGGGAGGGACAGAGACAGAGACAGAGACAGAGAGAGAAATACCACTGTACCAGAGGTGAAAGCCTGGAGAATCACTGAGCTACATGCTTGGCAGCTGCTTTATTCACAGGCTGTGTCCAGCTCTCTGACTGGGGCTGGTGTACCACTGGCAAACATTTAGGAAGGACTTCCTGTTCTGCCAGCAGTGCCATTGTGTTACCAAAGGCATTTGGTGTATTTTTTGTCTTTTGGTGTATTTGTATTTGTAGGCTGGAAGACCAATCACCAAATCCAGGTTATTTTGCAGAGAGAAAGCTATTACAAGGAGATCAGGTAAGGAGTCTGATAAGGGGCCTGGGGAAAGATTTTATGGATTAGGTCGGAAGGGGCTTGTATGTAAAAATGCTGGCAAATCAAGTTCTGAATAGAGGGACTCAGAATCAATCAGGACAGTGTCGATGAAAACAAACAGGATCCCCATTGACCCTGATGTTCCTTTTAGTAATTCTCCATCTACTGCCCTTGCCTTGCTCTTTGTCTAGAAATGGTCACACGCATAGGCTTGGGTTCCACCTCTCTCTCCCACTGCAACACCTCATAGGACTCCACACCTATAGTGATGGCCTCCTCCTGATTACAGTCTTCTTTACCTCGTTTAACATCATGGGTTATATTCTGAAGCAGTAAAAAGCAATTCAATTAGTCATTTATGAGCCAAAGAGTGGGCATTTGCATGGTTTCTGTGTTATGATCTTTTCATAAAGAAAGAATGGGGAATGTATGGATGTTGTCCATGTCCTATAGGAAAAGGGAGGGTTTTATTGCAAGTTTGGGATTCCTTTAAACTTCCTTGTTTTCTAGGAGCAGAAGCAGAGGAGTCACATAAATTCAACTTGTCATGGAATAGCTCCTTCTCTAACAACAAGCCTTGAGATAAGAAAGCAATAGTCATTGTACAAATAAGTTAATTTTGTTGAGGTTTATGTAAATCTATGGAAGGTCTCTATAAAGCCTAAAATACAAAAGTTAATTATAGTCCTAATATAAACTAAATATCAATTAGTGATTGTCATTGACTGGAAACAGTATTAACCATATTGAATATATTATTATCTAACTTTTTGTCACAATTTTACAAAGACAGTATTAATATATCCATTTTACAGAATAAAATACAGAAGCAAAAAGAAGCCATAAGGCAGATGCCTAAAGCCACAGTTTAAACATCAGACTAAATTCTTATTGTTGAAAAGGTGCCTTTTTTGGCTCTGAAATATAAGAAAAACAAAGTGTTTTTTCTACTCTGACTCACCATTTAAAATAACACTTCCGACATCTGATGTGGAAAAGTACTTCCCCAGTTCCCAATAATTTTCTAGAAAATGCCTGCTGGGAGTCCTATTGCTATAGCTATAGAGACAGATATGTATCCAAGAAAGAGGTGGAGGAAATACCATTCCTGCTAGGGTTGCCGCTCAAACTCATCCCATGAATGGCAACTTGAAATTGCTATTATAGCAAAGCTGCTGCCCAGAAATAGCACCAGCCAAAAATATCAACATGGCTATTTACTGTGTCGCACTGACAACTTATAGCCTATTATAATTCCATTATAATAAAATTACCATGGCTGACACTCCCACTCCCATTGTGCCATGAATGCCATGAAAATTCCAAGACTTCTTATAAAGGCCAGAAAATGTCCAGTCACCAAATTCCTGGAAATGTTTGTCCATTCCTGAAAGGGTTTACTCCCTCCTGAGTGTGTACTTTCACTTTGCTAGTAAATCTAATTCCTCTGCTAAGCTTTATCTATGTCTTGTCCTTGAGTTCTTTCATGTCAGAGATAAGAACATGAACCTCTTAAATTCTGAACATTATAACACCTCTTTTTTAAATTTATATAAGTTGAACAAATTTCATGTAGTTCATAGTGATATGAAATACATAGTGATACTTCCACTCTATAACTCCTCTTAATTCCAACACTCAAGACAGAGTCAGATCCCAAAGGTTGAAGGTTCAGTTCCACAAGACCGCTCCCTCCCCATTTCAGATGCCAATCATAAGTAATAGATCATCAGCTATACTCTGACCAACCAGCTACATCAGGGGTCTTTCTGCCTTCCCCTTGGGTTCAATTAATTTTCTATCAGTCACAGAGATCAGGGAAATACTTTGCTTACATGTAGCAGTTGAATGATAGGGAAGGTAAGAAAGAATAAAAAAGCCAGATAAGCTACACAATGTGAGGTCTAGAAAAGTCCTAAGCACAGAAATTTCTGTCCTTGTGAAGTTGAGATGACCATTGTCCCAGCACAAGGATATGTTTGACAATTGGGAAGCTCTCTGAACCCTTAAATTTGGAGAACTTTATGGAGGTTTTATTTATTTCCAGTGTCTCTTCCCTCTCTGGAGAACAGGAGAGGAGGAACTGAATGACCTACTCTTATAATCATGTTTATCTCGTTCTGGTGACCAGACCTTAGTCAAGAGCCCACTATGAGTTGTTTCATTAGGGAAAAAAAGGTGTCCAATAAATTCCAAAGGATTTAGGAACTCTGAGTCAAGAACTGGGGTCAAAGGCCAAATATTACAGCAAAGTAATTTTCCTAGTGCCCCCATCTAGTAGGGTATTAGGAATTGTGACTCAGGAGATTGGGCCAGAATAAAATATTGGGATCAAAGATTCTTCTAGCACCCCTATTACTCAGAAAACTACAAAGGTGTTAGGTCATCTGTGCTCAGGGCTGGAACCAGAGACCAAAATGTATGTATTTCCTATTACTATCTTACACTGGCAGTCAAGCTACGTCAAACATTACATTGACCTGTTAGTGAAACTGAACCCCTATACATGGCCTTGAATGCAAATGTTGGATACCACCAGGCCTCTGCCTCTCAGCCTCTCTCCCTTAGTGTAAGGTGTCTTTGTCCTGTGTTGTGTGTGCATGTGTGTATTGTTGTTGCTGTTGTTTTAACCTTTTTTTTTTTAATTGCAAGTTGACCTCTTACTAAATTTAACTTACTGAATTGAGGGAGTACTGCAGCCATCACTGGACTCATGTGGTCATTTTTTTCTCCAATAATTACCAACTTGATGGCTGTATGGTCTCAAAGGGTATCTTCTCAGGGAAATTCCAGGCCCATGGCAGGAAGTAATTACCATCTGCATGTTGTCCTCGGAATGGCTAAAGCCCAAACACTGCAGACCAACCAGAAACTTAGGTATGAGCTGAACATCCATTCTCAAGACCCAACTTAAATCTATAAGAAGCTTTGTCCTTCTCCCCACAAGGAGCCTGTGACTTGAGCTACAGCAGCCTAGCTCCTAGTTCTGAACATTGCAATAAGTACCTCCTTTCTCCCAGCATCTCAATGCCAGTGATTTGGCTTTCTGCATGTGGGGCAGACATCTCCAGTCTGGGGGTTCTACAGCAACTCCTCCAACCACTTATAGAGACAGTTCCTTACTATTACCAATTCCTTGGCCAATTTGAGGCATGTGGCACACTCACATGCTTTGTGATCAATTTAGCAGGAAGAACTGAGACTCTGACTATATTTCATATAGAGAAGGTTAAAAATGTTTTCCTCTACTTCAGTGGTTATGGCTTACAAATCACATGTAATATGAGACAGATAATAAGAAAAATGAGTTTTAGGTATATATGCACACACAAGAGTTCACAAAGAATGTCCTTCAAGGCGGTGGCCACATGACTGAGGTTTCTAGATAGTCTTGGACTAAGAAAAGGAAAAGGTGTGGGTCCTCTGAGTGGGAAAATCAAGTTTGGGAAAAGGAAGGCAGGAAATGAGCAGTAGAGTTGTCTCGTTAGTCAAGCCAGAAGCTTTGTGGGGCTAGTTACCTCTGGCAGTAGCTCTCTTCTTAGTGTGGCGATCTCTTTACAAATGAAGTTTATGGGGTCTGGAAAGGTAAGTTATTATCTGGGTTGAGTAGTCATTGTATTTCTGGAAAAGGGGGCAGCAACTTCCAGAACTAAGGATCCACCTCTTTTTCTCCCCTTATGTGGTCATTTCTGTAGGTTGTCATGGCAATTGTAACCTGTGATGGCAGGAGGGGGAGAGGTTTTTACTCTGTTAATGCATCACAATGAGGGTATAATGGGACTGGAGGAAAGGTAGTGCATAATCTGGACGCCATTTTGGATTTAACTGATTTGAACCAGTTCTGTTATCTTAATCTTGATTTTGTTCAGCTTACATCCTGGTGGATGGAGCTGAGACTTTCCATATACTATATATCAAAAAACACAGGGGCTGGCGCTGTGGCTCACTTTGTTAATCCTCCGCCTGTGGCGCCAGCATCCCATGTGGGTGCCTGGTATTTATCTCCAAATGGTATCTCCAGATGGTATTTCTCTCCAAATTAAAAACACTCTATACTAAAAATATTAATCCGTCAAGTAGGAGAGTTTTACAATTTCAAATAGATCAAAATTGTATACCTACAACAATTGGAAATTAAACAAAAGTTGCAATGTTGTTTTTAAATGGGTGAAATATTTGAGTCCTAATGAATGTCAATGCACACAGCACAAGAATGAGATCTAAGGGCCGGCGCCATGGCTCACTTGACTAATCCTCCGCCTGCGGCACCGGCACCCTGGGTTCTAGTCCCGGTTGGGGCACTGGATCCTGTCCCGGCTGCTCCTCTTCCAGTCCAACTCTCTGCTGTGGCCCAAAAAGGCAGTGGAGGATGGCCCAAGTGCTTGGTCCCTGCACCTGCATGGGAGATCAGGAGGAAGCACCTGGCTCCTGGCTGCGGATAGGCGCAGTGCTGGCCATAGCAGCCATTTGGGGAGTGAACCAACATAAGGAAGACCTTTCTCTCTGTCTCTCTCTTTCACTGTCTATGACTCTACCTGTCAAATAATATGTGTGTATATATATATATATATCTCAAAATGGTTGCTTATCTTGGAAAATTATCACACTCATTAACTGCTAATAAAATATCAGGAATCATAATAGGATCTTATTATATTTTCATTTATAAATGTCTATGTCTGCACTACATTACATAAACTGGATTAGCAAATTGCCATGTAAAATTTAGGTATGGGTAGAAGCCGTGCAATTTGCATACCAAATTAAGGTATAATGAGAAAGGAACAGATGATGACTGTTTTTCTGTTTTGATTTTAAATGTTTGCAAATGTGTGAGTCTATGTTGCTACTTATTTGTATGTATTTTCAACATATTTAAACTAAGAACTACATTATATGTGAAGATATCTAGGGAAGGGAACAACAGACTGACTTCTAAAAATGCCATCCTGTTTATACAGTGTAAATATTCAACATGGGTTATTTTGGTCAAAACAGTTGTATTTTAGAAAACACAGCATTGCAATCCTCTTTACCCTGATCTTCGACTTTATTCTTTTTATTCACTTCTATCGTTCTAACTTAGTGTAACCATTCATCCAGTTAAATAAATTGTCAAATCTCTGCTATTGGGCAGCCCCTGTGTTGTTTCCTAGAAAAATGTTACAAAAAAGAAAGAACATTGCACTCTTATTTATTGGACATTCAATATATTCTAATGAGTGTAAATTATAGATGGATAGATGGAGGGATGGATGGATGAGTGGAAGCATCAAGCAAATGTGTTTTTTATGACATCCAGTATACAGCACTGCATTCAGTTTTGCTAGTCATGACAGCAATGCCATCTATCTCCTACAGATCTCTGAATTCCCGTTAGAGGTCTCACCCTTTGCACAAAGCTTTCAAAGCTCCTACAAATTACAACCCCACAATAATATGTTACATAATCACTCACTTATCCAGAGTCTCCTTTTTTTATTCTTTAGGCCTTTATCAAATAACCACTCTGTTCCTAGAATTTCTCTAGGCCTTTGGGTCCATGTCATTATGGATTAAGAACTCAATGAAAAATAGACTTTGGGCAAATAATTTGAAATGTAAAGACTATTTAAAGTTTACAGACTGGCTGGCACCCCGGCTCAACAGGCTAATCCTCCGCCTAACGGCGCCGGCACACTGGGTTCTAGTCCCGGTGGGGGCGCCGGATTCTTTCCCGGTTGCCCCTCTTCCAGGCCAGCTCTCTGTTATGGCCCGGGAGTGCAGTGGAGGATGGCCCAAGTGCTTGGGCCCTGCACCCCATGGGAGACCAGGAGAAGCACCTGGCTCCTGCCTTTGGATCAGCGCGGTGCACCGGCCGCAGAGCACCAGCCGCAGAGCACCAGCCGCGGCGGCCATTGGAGGGTGAATCAA